TTAACGGACGGATTGATACTAGGCAGCAATCAATAAAGGGCAAATGAGCAGAGGCGCCTTTTAAATAAGGCTATATTTATGTCATGCGGGCAGCGTGGAACCACTGTAAAACAAAAAATACGATCAAATTGCGCATAACATTTATCGCAGACAGTCCAATTTCCTCGCGAACCCAACTCCGAAACTGCGCGGAATGCGCAGGAAGGAAAAGCGAAAGCGGCGCGAAGAGCTAGCAGGACACAGTGGTCCCGGCGATTTTGCGCTTAAACACGCTGCCCTGATTGCAGCCGGATCCAAGCCGCTTCATACAGTAGTATTAAAATGCAGGCTGCTGTAACTCCAGAAGGTAAAGCTGACCCTCACTGAACCAGCGGGAGATGCCGGGCGTATGCTGGCAGTGATACAGGGCGCGCAAAGGAGCGATACCTGCGGATGAAATGCTTCATATCTCAAAACAAAGCGCGTGCAAATTGGGTCATCAACACACCCGCTCAAAGTTTGCGGTGACCCCAAGAATACAAAGCGAGCCGATCATCTGTTTTGATAGCAGGATATTGCGCCATAGCCTGATTTATGTGGCTAATGGTTAGAAAGCAATCGTCGGTATAAATATTAAGTTATCAATTTTTACATAACTTAAAATTATATAGTCAGCTGAGCGAAATTAGTGTTCTTTGTTTTCCATTGTGCCGTATTGCCGTTTGAAATTGCTGCTGATCACAGCGCGGGGAGCGGCCTGCATTGTTCACGGCGTCGCATGTCACTCCAGCCTCCCCCTAACAAAGTCGATAAATTGACTCCCTCGCACGCTTGTAATGTGGCTCTTTAATAACTGCTAATTAACTTTGCTTAAACGCTCCCCATCCAGGCAGATGACTATGCAATCAGGGACAGCGAGCGGAAAAGCTCAAAGGGGAACTAAACGGGGAAGAAAGACGGGATGGAAAGGGGGAAAGGAGCTGTACGGAGAGGAAAATTTGAACTTCCAAACTGTTCAGGCTGAGAGACGTGCACTCACACACTTTAAGGCATGCAAACGGCACGTGCTACACAATATTTACTAATAATAAGAGAGCAGATGGGTGATACTATGTTAATACCCCGAGTCGAGACTTTAAACCTGCAAATTAATGTCACGCCTGGTAAAAACGACAGTCGAATTTAAAAGTACTGCGTTTATATTTAAAGTAATCGGGCAGCAAAATAATATGACGTCTCATAAATAGGAAGGCAGTACTAAACTTCCCTGATTTGCGCTATTTTAGCTGTTGGGCAGTATTCCCGTACATTCCCGATGTCATGCCCCACGGAAACAGATTCTTAAACTCACAGGCACAAGTTCATCACTCCATCCATCCCCAAACATAACACGATGCCAAACGCTATTTCGCCTATTCAGTATAAAATCCAATGAAGTGCCCTTTGCTTCTAAAGACGCTACGCCGCTGAAATGTGTGTATTTAAGCGCCAGCCCTGTCTCCGTAGAACATGTCATCCACTAATTTTAATTTAATGCTTATATGTATTTTTAAGATACTAGACTTATTCTGGGAGTATTATTTACACGGCCACTTTCACCAGATTCAGTCAGGTCGGGTTTCTGTGGTTAGTTTAGTGCGCTGTGTTTTATATAAAGATTTTGACGTTTCGTAATACAGAGTAATATTTTAGTATCTTATATCGCCAACGACACTGCAAAGGATTTAATCTGCTGATGATCATGTGATCTTTACCTGTAATTTAATGCACTTGATTTGCACTGACCTGCAAATTGTGCTCCAAAAACGTACATAGCGAATATATTTTCTCCAACAATGATGGTATCGATTGTCGCAAATGGACGCTGTCCTAACTGCTCCTAACTCCGACTAATGCGTGATCCGATATTTTTTAATTTGTATATTTTCCTCGGTATTGCCTTCTCTGTCAAATTTGTCATATGTCATAAAGAGCAAACGCTGAATCGCGAAAATAGAGTGAGGGGCATAACCAGATATCACAGGAAACACTTCAGATTTTGTTAATTAATATGCCATTAGGCGCAATTACCGAGAATCAACCTTAATCAATGTAATCAGATAGGTAATTAAAATGTAGACATAAGCTACTTTACATCAGTTAATGATTAATTAGTATTTGGGCACATTTTATCATGCTCGTGGCAATTTTCCACTGCCTTACTTTGCTACGGAAAAAATAAATCCAAAAACGTCTTAGTTGAAACCAGGAGATGGCGCCACTTAAAATAAGGAAATTATTATATTTATAGTGTTAAGAAATAGGCTATCCACTCTCTGTCCTGCGGGATATGTTAGCAGGAACCAGCACAAGAGAAACGAACAGCGAGCACTGATGAGCAAAATAACGGAGAGCGAATTCTTCTTTCATAAAATCTTATAATGCAACATTCTTGCGCTTCTTGCGGCGTAAAATCATACCAAACAGATTTTAATTCCGCTTGATGAATGCTTAAGACAAGATATTTTATCGTCACTGCTACCCATCCTTAAACCAATGAAATATCATAAATTAATCGTTTACACACAGATAACTACTAGAGCAGACAGTGAAATAACAGGTTAACAGTCTAACAATTTTAATATAACAATCCATTGATACATGCTACGTTAAATACTCGGGAAATTTAAAAATTCAAATCACTGCCTTTAAGAGGTATACGCGTAATTAGTGCGTTTAAACAAAGCACCGATGTCTTTCTGGCGGCAGAAGTGCCTGACATCTCTTTTCTTGGGTTAATAACAGAGTCTGAATAAAAGAGGGAAATCGTGCCCCTAAATTATATGGCGCTTCTAAATATCGGGCTGCATCGCGCGTCTGTTTGTGATCATGCAGGGAAAAACATTTTTATATTATTATTATTATTATTGTCATTATCAAGTTGATCTGCAGACACGTGGATCTGATTGGATAAACGCAATAAATTATTGTCGAGCTACGCAGTGTAAAGCAACACAATTGAGTTAAACTTCAGACCTCAAAGCACAAACAAATAATTACTGGACAGATTTATGGAAGAATGTTGTTATTGCGTCCTGTATGTAGAAAAATACCAGTTTAATAGGTAGCATTTTATATCTTTACACATTTCCATAATGCAATGTCATATATAACACCGAATTCATCAACATTTAAAACACATTTATTAGACATAAATCTTTACCAAACAACAGTCCTTTATGTGCGCTTTGTATACAGTAAGCGTTAATTTACGTTAAATCGTATACGAACCCAACGTAAATATGGTATGTGATCACAGTCTCCATTCATGCTTTTCTGCCTGTAATTATTAATATCTTTCTAGAAAAAATAAGAGAGTAAATATCTGCAACTATTCTCATCCATCCATATATATTATCAAAATGTGAATTAAATACTTATTCTTTTAATATAGAAAACCAAGAGTCATAATTATGTTTTCACGAGTTAATTCCTTTTGTGTATAAGTTCTTTTTTTTATATATATATTTTTTGTGAATAAGGTATATAACGAAGAAACAAAGTTTTTCTTTAAAGTTCGACATGCACGTTTTCTGCCTTTTACACTCTTTCAGATACATTTTACTATTATTTTCATGCTTGGCGGTTGTGGCAATATAACGGAGCAGGTACATAAATAGCAGGGAGTAAATTGTAGCGCGCGCTGAAGTTTCGGGATTGAATTGTGAAAATGATCCTTTTAACAGTGATGGTTCTGTGTCGCTGTAGAGGTCGTACTATTCGCAGCGGGTTAAATAGACTTTCATTTAAAATTACATTCTCAATCTATCTGGCGCCTCTGCTCTGCCTTATCGCTGGGGGTGGAGATGGCGTTTGGGGGGGGGGGTGAAGAAAAAGTGTTCAACCCTCAGCATCCCTTAGAGAGCACTTTTGCAGTATTACCGCTACGCTGTCACTTATAAGTCAATCATCTAAGTCGTCTAAGATTTTCGTACGATAGTTACTTTTGGCGGAACAACCGTGATCTGGAAGCCGAACCGCAATTAACGAAATATTATTAAACGTGACGCGCATGCCGTGTTGTTACTATTATTATTGCTGTTGTTTGTATATATTCGTTTATTGGCCGGATACAGTTTTTCTAAAGATTCACGTGGAATTTTCAGAACATAAACATTTTATATAAATTATATAATTGTCTATTTCTATCTATTCTACTAATGTTTAGAAATGACACATTTAGGTATTTTTGAACCACGTTCTGAAAAAGGAATAAAAATCAGTGCCTACATGTGATCGTGTATCACTGTTTCAGCACGATGTTCTGTGCTTTTAATCATGTTAAAAATAGTCACTGATTTTTACCAATTGCATTATTTCAAATATTTTACTAATAAACAGAATGTGTATTTTGTGGTCCACGTATCTGAATTTCATCTAAGTTTGTTTTACCCCTTATTACATTACACTGTTACTAAACTCTAATTGTGAGATTTTACTTTCTCACATCATGTTGCTCAGAAGTTAGTATTCGTCTCACACGCATAAAAACTGAGGAACGGGAGTTTTTAGATGGAGACGCGCTCAAAGTGCGGCCGGGAGCTTGGAGTTTGGCTACAGCATTTCGCGTATCTGTCCCCCGAAACAAATTTAGGTCCGCGCCTCACTATTTCCAGACGTTTAACATAACGGCGTGTTCTTTGTACGTGAATTAATTTTGCCAACATTACCCAAATGATGAAATCTCCCGAGTCTCCCTCAGGTTATTACATTCTTTCTAAATATCAGTTTTCCATTTGTGCAATGGCAGTCTATAAAAGAGGAGGATAATTGTAGATTACATCGGAGAGCTGTTCCTGCAAAGGATGTCGACAATTCTTGCTGTTGTCTAGAACAACAGCAAGAACAAACTCTTAGTTAATGACACCCACAAACAAATCTGCAACTGCCGCTATCATCTTCCAAAGTAAAATACCAGCGCGTAGTAAAGATTGTAGTTCAGTCTGGGGAGTTCGGTCCTATGGGTCGATATTCCATCTCGAGATTTGATTTGCTCCCTTAGTTGCACTTTAATGGCAAAGAAAAGATAAAGATCCTCTTTTTCCCCGGGAGCCAATCAGATGGCCCATGCACGTCAATGCTACAGAATCGAGCGTAGCTATTGCGGCGCAGAGCACATGTCATTAGTGTCCGGGTGCGAGACGGCAGGAAGGGGGGTTGAAACATCGAGAGAAACGCACACGCTCACACACTCCCTGGAACAAAAAGTCCATCCGCGAAAGCATACCAAAATGACCAGTCAGTACGAGGAGGACACTGCGGACAAATCCGACTGTAAAAGTAAATCGCCAACTTTGCTCTCGTCCTACTGCATAGACAGTATCCTGGGCCGGAGGAGCCCCTGCAAAATGAAATTGATCGGAGCACAAAGTTTACCAACTCTGGCTGGCAGATCGGAGAACGAGAGGGTGACCGAAGGTAAGGCGACTTTCGGCGACACGATCCGGTGACAACGCCTGTAGCCTCGGAAAAATGGATCCACTAGCGACCGACAAGCGTGGAAAAGCGTAACGGCGTAGAACACACCGAAAGTTATCGGTGCAGGGTGCAATCACTGCTGACAGGATCGGTAACGCGCGTCTTTCGATGAACACATCGCATTTCTCACCGTTATAATGGTACACTGGGATTATGAAGTTACCTTCCACGTATCGAATACAAACGAATGACTTTGGTATGTGTGAGTGTCATTTCACAGTAATCGAAATGTTGAACACCTAAACTTTACAATCGTTTATAGAAGTCATACAGTTCAAACATATGATTAAATTTAATCGAAACATTACATTAAAATCACGTTTAAATCACACTACGTAAATACATGCAAATTTGTGTATGGATGTTGACATTTTCTTGCAGAATAGGCCTAAATGCTGGGATATTATTAATATTAATAAAATGGAGTTGCTGGTTTTTGATAAAATTATTCCAAAATCTTTATGTTTCTAAATTAATCCATGCGGCATGCAATGTGAAGAAAGATGTGTTTTTTAAGATGTTGTATTGTCCACATTACGTATGGTTCTAAATTCTTTCTCTGTGTTAATTAACGTTGATTTCAGAAGTTAACAGTGTGAAAAAATTAAATGTATATGCCTTCGATACTTGACAAGTTATTTCTTAAACGCTGATATAAATGTCGTTAAAATACTACAGTTTCTATAAAATACGTAAACACGGGACTGCTTTATACTATGAATGGGCTCTTTCAAAGGTTTCTTGTTCACCACCGTATCGCTCCCTGTCGCTCGTATCAGCCTCCCCTACAGACAGCCTGTCCTTCGACTCCGAGATCCACCTGCCGCCGAAGCTTCGCAGACTCTACGGCCAAGGAAAGTACTTGGACCCCGTGAGAGTATTTCACGAGCATGGGGAGCAGGGAGAGCGCGAGCGGTTACTTGACCAGACCTGTGAGAACCTCAAAATTATCCAGGCGCCGCAGGTCAGTATCAGCCGCAGCAAGTCCTACAGAGAAAACGCGAGTTTCAGCCAGAAGGTGCGTGACGCCAGCCCAGAGCGCGCCGCCGAGGAGCTTGTGGAGATGGGCACGCTGAAGTTCGAGGAGGAGGTGAAAGAGGAGCCGTGCGGGGAGTCGGACCTCTCCCCCAAGGAGGCAGAGGGCCTTCACAACGATGGGGATGTTAAAGACGGAGAGGACAGCGTGTGCCTGTCCGCGGGCAGTGACTCGGAGGAGGGCATGCTCAAGCGCAAGCAGCGGAGATACAGGACTACCTTCACCAGTTACCAGCTGGAGGAGCTGGAGAGGGCCTTCCAGAAGACGCACTACCCTGACGTGTTCACCAGGTACGGTGTGGGCAGCTCTGTAGCCCGCTGGAGCAAGGAATAGCGCAACTTTCAGTGATAGAAGGCTCACAAAGCGCCACAAGTCTTATTATTAAAACACTGGTCTATTTATTGAAATACCAGGGGCATAATGTCTATTATTTACTAATGTTTATGGAACGGTCTATTTAAGTACTGTCTTAAATGAAATTGATAACATTTCTAATACAGTAAGTTGTTTTTTTCCCAGTCCACATCATCTGTATCCATCTGTGGTAAATTTGCGTCATTCTGATTTAAAAGAAACTGACCTATTCGAATCGAACTCAGTAGACACAATTAACCCCTAATATTGCATGTTATATAAATGTTTTTATTAAGTGTTTTATTAAGCGAAGATCCTTATTGATTAATTTAATCATGCAATTTAACTACAATCACCAATACCGGTTTTATAGCGCGTCCGTAAAATAAGAGTGTTTTTAAAAATAATCACCTCAGTTCAAAATTATTTTAAATACAAATATTACTCTGGAGTCATAATTTTTTTTTGACTCTTTAGTCCCTGAAAACCAAATGTACAACACACCGCAATCTAACGAATATATTTAATATTAAATATTTCGACTTTAAATTTTCCACATTTAGCCTCTCTTCTACAGATTGTCACAGTACAGATTTGTATGGATGATTTACTGCGTAGCACGGCGGTCGCAGATGTTTACTAAATGTGGTGTTTGTCCTAATTTCTCGCCGTAGTGTGTACTGTGTTGTTATGACTCGAACAAATATTGTGTCGAGTCCAATTGAAAAGAAACTGCTCGTGTTTGCCGTGTATACGGAAATGGAGGTATTCGCCAAAAGCTGAAGCGGGCGCGATTAGCGAGCCCGCGGGGAATCTGTACACCTGCTTCAATTGAACGCCTGCAATTAATGTTTTTTTTGTCGGTCATTCACATACAAAAGAAAGGGAGTTGATACATTTTGCGCCTTTATTGTGACATAGTCACCCCTCTTCAGACACACGCACGCACACAAACGCGCGCACACACACGTGCATGGATCACATTTTTTCCTCATACACCGCGAAATCTAAACGTGTTTATGCTTAGTCTTTCAAATTGTTAGTTTTAGTTACATGACCATTTTCTTTATAGAAAAAAACAAACGACAATTTATAAATAAAGAATCGCAATATATACGTACGGAATTTTCTTGAACAACGTCGCTTCAATTAATGTGAACACTTGTATCGTTTTCCACTTTTTCGAAATTGTAATTATTTTAATGAACAATTTGGTAAATTTTAAGATTAATTCTAAATGTTAAATCTCGATGTAATTTAGTGCATCACGGCAATTTGGCAATGTTAAATTTAAAATCTTCAATAAATTTAAAATCACTCATCATATAATTTATTTCATAGCGCTATAAGGAGTTTCGACATTAAGTCTACATGCATAAAATAATCTCATAATAAATTGCCATTCATATTGCTCTATAGGCCTATATATATATCATAGCTTTCTTACCGTAATCGAATATATGTTTTAATTACAGTAGTAAAGTTATGGATATTTTAAATTTAGAAAGCAAAGCAACTGAATTATCGTTACTTATTTATAAATATACAACAAATGGGCTCTGTGTCGGCTGGCCGTTAGACTATTATAGAGTGGTTTAGAACAAAAAATCTGTAAAATCATTGATAATTTTTTTCGAATTATACATTTCGGGAAAATTATTGATTTTTTGCATCGAGACGATAGAATCACACGAACAGATGTTGTTTACCGGCATGGGCGTAGATTTGGGTTTGGACTGTAGGGACATGTGCCGTGTGTGTTCTGGGGGGCGATTCGGTTCCTACCAATGTCGAAACCAAACCTACACCCTTGCTTCCTGGGCAGGTACTCTCCAATTCAGGTACAACCACCAGATTTTTAACAACACTTCTCTTCATTTCAGAGAGGAGCTGGCAATGCGATTAGACTTGACTGAGGCCCGAGTTCAAGTAAGTAACGCAATTTTATATTTTAAGTACAGGCTTACATATTGAAATATACCGACACCGTACGTGTATACACATTCATATAATTATTTTTATGTTTAATAATAGTAGCATAGAAAATACAGCAAAAACATCTATGTTGTATATATGTAGCCTACTTCCATAACGGTTGTCATCCCTTAGAGCAATTTTATCGTTACTTATTTTATATTAAATTTGATTAGCCGATATATTGTAGTTAGCATCCAATTGTATATTTTTTTCAGAAATACACAGATTATAGACAACACATCATTTAACCAACAAACGGTTTTGTAAAAGCTTCTATATTTCAATCGAAACGTCAGTTTCAACAAAGGCTTTAATTGTTACCTTGGTAAGTGGTTTTAAAGGCGGCACGACCAGCTCCCTTTACCGACGGCTTCCGGTTATCAGTGGCTTCCGGTTGCCGTCGGTTTCCGGTTGTCGGCAGGCATTTCAGCAGTAATATGCGCCCGCTTGTCATTCATAAAAGCGCACTTAGCGCAAGAACAAACACGAAGCTTTCTGGGGCGAAGTGCTATTTGAATTGTCTTCCCCATTTCGATATGCGAATGTGTGTGTGTGTGTGTGTGTGTGTGGGGGGGGGGGGGGGGGGGGGGGGTAATGGTATTTGATTTCCCATTTTCTGATTGCAAAAGCTCCGCATTGATCCGATGCCTCGCACTTTGAGCGAGTGACATGCTATTAAAGGTGTTCATGAGCCCCCCATCTCATCATCCCCTCTCTGAGCATGGCTTGCATTTCCAGGCCCATGTCTCATAACCAAAGAGACAGAGCAAACACGGCCAAGTCTGGCGGGCTGTTACAGCCACATAAAACAGATGTCTGCTCTAGTCGCACCCGATCGAATCACTTAGCAGACACCATCAACAGGTGATAAAGCCCCATAAATTCCTCACGGGCCTCGTAGCGCACAACGACCCAACAGCTTCTGCATAGGCGGGGGGTACTACAAATGAC